TCTTGGATACACTCCCCATTTCATAGACATACCTAATTGTTCAGCCTGTCCACCCATCTATCCACCCATATACCCATGTTTGCCTTCACTGACAATGCAGTACTGTATGTGCAAAAGGGTTCATATTTGTTGTCTTTTGCAGTAGATTTGCTCAGTGCAGTATATCGTCTGATTTATTGACTGCTGCTTCCAGTGGTGTTGATTGTAGAACCAAGCAATATGAAATCTTTGACAACTTCAATCTTTCCTCCATTTATCATAATGCTGCTTATTGGACCATTGGTGAGGGTTTTCATTTTTTTTATGTTGAGGTATTGTAATCCACACTGAAGACTGTAGTCTTTAATCTTCACCAGTAAGTGCTTCAAGTCATCTTCACTTTCAGCAAGGTTGTGTCACCTGCATATCATGGATTGTCAAGAGTCTCCTTCCAATCCTGATGCCACATTCTGCTTCATATAATTCAGCTTCTTGGATTATTTGCTTAGCACACAAGTTGAATAAGTATGGTGAAAGGATACAACCCTGGTGCACTCCCTTCCCGATTTTAAACCATATAGTATCCCCTTATTCTGTTTGAACAACAGCCTCTTAGTCTATATACAGGTTCCTCATGAACACAATGAAGTGTTCTGGAATTCCCATTCTTCTCAATGTTATCCATAATTTCTAATGATCCACACAATCGTGTAATCTTAGTAGTTAGCTATTTTCTCTGGAAAGAGGTCAATGCTTGTCACTACCTCATAGTAGCAAACAACTAAAGCAACCTGCCTAGTCAGGTGAGACCAAAATTGCTCTCAAAATTCCTTGAGGACTAAGGTTGTAGGGAAATGAATGAATGAGTGAAATAACATAAAAAACATATATGGGAGCTCTGGTGGTGTAGTGCCAAAGACATTTGACTGCTAACCAGAAGGCTGGCGGTTCAAACCTACCTTGGAAGGAGACTGGGCAATCTACTTCCATAGAGATACCACCTCGTATCTGGCACACAGTATGCTCTTAGTAAATCTCACAGAGGCAGCTGGTGGCAGTGTTAAGAACGCAGTCTCTGGAGTCAGAACATCTGTGTTCCAATCCTGTCTTGCCACTTCCTGACATCTGACGTTGGGTAGGTAACTTTTCTGCCCCATGCCTCAGTTTCCTCCTTTGTAAATAGGGGCTCATAACACTATCAACCTCATTAGGTTGTAGTGAAGATTAGATGAATGAATCTGTTTAAATGCATTGAACAGTGGCTGGCACAGTCAGTAAAAATTATTTTAATTATTATTTTCTCAATTTATTCATTTAGTCAAGGACGGAAAAGTTCCATGCCTGTGGGCAGTTAGCATAAATGTGGTGATGGGGAGGGCCTAGTCCAAAGGGGAAATGTTCAGCAAGTGTGGACCCAGAGCTAAGGGAGTTTTAGAATCTCCTCTTAGCGAGTGTCATTTCAGGTTCCAGCTCAGCTCTTTAAAAGCTAAAACAGCTTTTGCATTTTCTCTTTAAACACGTTGTGCCACTTTTAGGGAGTGCGGGCCTTTGGCCAGAGGGTTGAGCTTCGAGGTTTGATCTCAGCCCCTTTTCTTCCTCTGTAAGACCAGCCCGGTGCCCCACGTCCAGTCCCAATCGTAGTCCTCAAGGAGGACCCTCGAAAACTCGTGGAGTGCGCCGGTGCGTCAATCTTCCTGGGGTGAACTGCAAATCAAAGGAATGACTGCAGAGGTGGAATTTGGGGCTCCTGAAACGCTAGTAGGGGGCGGAGCACAGCGTCCCTGGCCGAACCAGTCTACCAACAGGTGGCGGTCTATTTGCAAGACCTGCAAGGTTCCTGTACCGAAACTTGCACGGGATGTTAAGGCCACTGCACGCGAAGAGGCTGTTGCAGTCACCCGAAGCAGTGCTGCTGGCATCTGCGAAAAAGTGAAGAGAGAAGAGAGCAGGCTCTCTGCTGAGGTGACTCAAGGATTCAGACACTACGAGGTTTATCCAGGAAGACTTCAAGGAGGGGGTGAGTACTGAGCTCCGCACAGTAATGGGAGCTCCTTCCTTTTCTTAGAACATTGTTCTGGCTAGCACTGACTATCTTTCTTACCTTCGAGAAAGAACATTCTGGAAGGGAGCTGCCTGAATAGGAGGAAGGAACACGGGAAAGGAGTCTGGGGAGCGCGTGTCGGTGCGCCTGGCTCTCTGCATCCGGAGGAACGAGGTTCTGTCCCGCCAGATGGCGCTGTCTGGCTTTCCACTGACTTCAGCGCCAATCCCCAGGGGCCCCAGCCGCAGCGGCCGCTCTAGCCAGCCATTCAGCGCTCAGTGGTTCCGGGCGGAAGTGAGGAGCCGAGCGGAACGGCCTCTGGTGACATTTTCTCCGGGCGGCTCGGACGAGTGAAGGGACTTGGTGCTGGTGGAGGCTGCGGAGGCGGCGAGATTGGCTTTGGTCCTGGCAGGGCTCTGATTGCGTCCTTCAGCTCGCTGCCTGGGTTTCTGCAGGGGACGAGAAGGCGGCGGTGGCCGTCGCGTCTCAGGTCACTGCGGCCGGGAGAGTCCCGGCCAGGGGGGGTCGGTACGTGCCCCGACGGGGCGCGCAGAGCGGGCAAGGAGGTGCAGAGCCGCAGCGGAGCGCAGGTGAGGCGAGAAGGGGTGCAGGATGGAGTCTTGACCCGGGCTACGTCCGGGGAGGGTTCGGGACGAGTCCGAGAGGTGCGGGCCGCGGGTGAGGGCTCGGCGGCGTCTGGGCTCCCGGGTCGTGACGGGTCAGGCTGGCGCGCGTGAAGTGTTCGCGCCTAGACTTGGCAGGAGGTGCAGTCCGGGCGGGGCCGACGAGAGAGGGCCGAACAGCCACGACCCCTTGCTTGCCAGCCGGCTGCTGACCCTCGCGTCCTCCTGGCCCGGCTAAGTTGGCGGGCCAAACGCCATCCCCCTCCCCGGACTGTGGGGCCCGGGCCAGGCAAGTCGAGGCGGGTGTTTTTCGGTGGGTACTAGGGGAAGGTTGGAGGTGTCGCAGTCTTCGGACAGCGCGGGGTAGCCTCTTCGTAGACCTGGAGTTCTCTTTGCGCAACTTTCCGGCGCCCCGGGCCGCCGGGAACGCGGTGGCCGCAGCTCTGCCAATTGAGCCAGCCGGGTCTGGCGCCGACACCTGCCCCTATCCGGAGATCCTAGGAGTCGGCCCCAGCGCCGCGGTTGCTGTGGCCTTGGGGGAGGGAGAAAAGGCTTTTCCGGCTTGGCGCCGCCTTCTTCTCGGCGCTTCCACTACCTTCGGTCCACAGACGCCTCTGGTTAATGGGAGCAATGTGTCAGTCTCCAAAATTGACCTCTTCTGGCGAGTTTGCCAACTTTATTGGCTGGGGTGGGGGTGGGGATGGGGGGGGGACAGCAAGGATGTAAACTGGCAAGTCCCAAGTTAATGTTTTCCCCTTTCTTGAGCTTCCTGGGAGAGTTGGCTGCTTTTCTCCAGGAGCACGTTGTACTTTTTTTCTGATACCACCTACCCCAGTATCCTTGCGCTATTTATGTACCTGCCCCAGCGGGCCGGCATGTCATTCATTCTTTCGTTTACATCGTTCTCTTTCCTGCCACAAAATAAATGCCCACAGTTGAAGGAATGAACGTCGGCACTTGGCCCTTCACCGCTGGAGCCGTTTATGCTTGGATGTGCTTTTTGCTTCTTTTTGCTTCTTGCCTGAGCTTTTGCTTCCTGAACCCTTCCACCCAGTAGGAGGAAAATCCCACTGAGGTTGCTTTGTCAGGGTTAGACCTCTTAATTACAAACACATCTGGCAGTTTTGCTTAGGCTGTTATTGTGAAGTACGGTGGGGCCCATGCTAATAGTTTGAATGACTCCCTTTCTTCTCCTGGGATGTTTTAAGGATGGAGGCTATTAACTTTCTAATGTAGTTTTGCTGATTCCGGCAGTCTGGGTTCCTCCAGTGATCGGAGCATTGCCTTGCATTTTAAGAGGCCTACAATCCGTAGTCATTACCTGATGGCCTGAGGAGTCACAACCTTAGCTTTTTTTTTTTTTTTTTTTAACTGCAGAGTATATTTTGACCGGTTAGTATGCCCAATACCATGCCATGTTGAGTGCCTGGTACACACAGGTGCTAGTAATGATAAATTATGAGTTAGGTTTGAATTTAGGAAATTGAGATGGAATTCTCGGTGATGACCCTTATTCTACTTTAAAAAAATCCTAGTGAAATTTTACGCAGTTCCATCAAATGAGAAATGAAACATTTCTTAGGCATTTCTAAATCAGCTTCCTGTAGAATGCTGTTCTGTACTACTATAATCTTCAAACCGTTATCTTTTTCATAATGTTGACATACTGTAGGTGGAAATTTCAAAATAGGTGTATATAATATGAAAGTGTGGTTTCTTAAGAGACCAGGAAGGAACTTCAAGGTCATTATATGTATAGGGCCAACTAATTCAGATTTGTTAATGGGAAAATTCTTTTTCGGACACTTTTTTGTGTAAAATGGGGTGCACTGGATTTTGGAGCTGAAGGATTTTCCTATTGTTAACTTCCTGTTATGGTCACAGTGTAGTTGTTACGTTATTCATTGATTCATGTATTTTACATGCGTCCATGTAAGTATAACTGTCATATTACTCTTTGTTTTATGGTCTTTATGATTAATCTGATACCTGTATATTAAATATAAATTCAGTTCTAGGTTCTAATTTAATGCAATTCTATTAGGACTGCATGTTAACCAATGCATAATTAGCATGTCTTTTGAAGGTTTCTTACTTTTAATATTTCAGTGACGTTAGTACCTTACATGTTCTTACTATGTGACTAGTAACTTCTGTCAGCTTTTGTAGTCATTAATTATTCAAGGGGTTACTTTTGCTGAGATCCCCAACCTCATGATTTTGTTCTGATATTTGCTTGAATAGTCTTAACTAAGTCCAAGATACATGTGCAATGAAAGTGGGTGCAGCCCCCCCGCCCCTTGTTTTTAAAGTTTGGAACTAGTATATACTCGAGACCTAACCCCTACATTTGTAATTTTGGCCAGTCATCTTAGACCATTCTCATTATGCTGCATTCAGTAACTAGGGATGTGAAGACAATATCTTTGGTTACTGAATTGACAGCACTTGGGAAAACCTATAAAAGAGGAAAAACGCTGTCCAGTAGTCTTAATATTTTACTATTTTGAACTGTACCGATTTTAATATTTTTTCTTGTTTTGGGAAACAATTTGGGGCCAAATAAAATTTCTTAGGTAACTGTAGTAACACAGGCAAAATGAAATAGAAATGCAATAACTAAGTGAAAAGTGAGAGAATATAGAAGCAGGTAAGGGCCGTTGAGAAAACACTGGACAAGATTTTGGTTTGACCTGCTTTCTTCTCACACTAATTTACTGTGACTGCTTACTATGTGCAGGTAGTGTTTTAGTTGCTAGAGCGTGTTCTGTGGGATGCATAGGGTAGCTGCAGATAGGGTCAGATTGTGAAGGTACCTTAAATTATTTTATAATGAGTTATGAATTTTCTTCTTTAGGGGAAGAAACTCACGTAGAATACGAAGGAGGTAATAATCATTCCCTTTTAGGAATTTTTCTTCATTTCTCCTTCAGTCCAATGAGTAGAAATTTTATTTTTTAGTTTTATTTATTTATGGGCTTGGTTCTTTATCATCAGACTAGCACAATTAGATGTTATTTTTCCTTTAGTTGTCAGATGCCAGTCTTAAATTTGACCATTGTCACCAAATTTTTCTAAGTCCTTTTAGCCTTTCTTTTCTATTATCCCTACTTTCTGACTCTTTCAGAACTCTTGTGATTTCATTTAAGGGAAATCAACAGTGTTTTCTGCTTATGGTAGGAAGCTGATCTCAGCAGCAGTGGAATCGATGGTCAGTCGGTCAGTTTTCACATGTGGCCCATAGGGCTTTCTGGTAAAAGGAAGGAGTCAGGTAGGTGAAGCTACAATACATCTTTCTTGTTTTCATTCTCTTCTGTACTTCTGAACAGCTAGGAAGGAAAACGTGTTGTACGCAGGGAAGGCCTGGTGATCTGCTTCTAAAAATCAGCCATTGAAAACCCCGTGGAGCACGGTTCCACTCTGACGCACACGGCGGCGTTGTGAGTCAGAATCGACTTGACGCCAACTGATTTTAAGAAAGCAAAACCCCCATATCTATCCATTTACATGTATGTGCATATGTGTATGTATGTATATATAACTGTGTGTGTATATACACATGTTGTTGTTGTTATGTGCCGTCGAGTCAAACCCGACTCATAGCGACCCCTCCTTGGGTTTCCGAGGCAGTATCACTACGGAAGTAGGATTGCCCAACCTTCCTTCCGAGGAGTGGCTGGTGGGTTTGAACCGCCAGCCATGTGGTTAGCAGGCAAGTGTCTTAGCCACTATGCTACCAGAGCTCCCATATATATGTATTAATATATTAGTAACAGCTGATTTAAAAAAAAAAAAACCCAAACTCACTGCCATTGAGTTGATTCTGACTCATAGTGACCCTCTTTGGGTTTCCGAGGCAGTAAATCTTTATGGAAGTAGATTGCCCAGTCTTCCTTGGAGTAGATGGTGTGTTTGAACCGCTAACCTTCTGGTTAGCAGTCAAATGCCTTAGGCACTGAGCCACCAGAGCTCCTTAGCAGCTGATGATGGCAGTAAATGTGACTTAAAAATACTTGAAAATATCCAGTATGACTCAGATTTGATTGATTGTCTTATTCAGAATTTCTGCCTTTAATTTAATGTTTAGTTTTGTTTTTGTTTTTTCATGTCTTTATCCAAAATAAGGAACCTCATTCCTCTTTCCTCAGACTCTGTCACTTAATAACCAGTAGGAAGATGGTGTGAATCCAGGTTTTTAACTTGGCTTTATTTTATTTTAAAGCCTACCTGGATTAAGTATTTTCTAGTTAAGTGAAGATTAATCAAGTGTGGAAATCTATCAGCATGTAACTTTGTGTGTGTGGAATATGTGTGTGGGGTATGTGTGTGTGTGGCCTTTATAACTCATTATGTTGATAATCCATTTACTGATGAGCACTTATGTGCCAGATGGGGATGGGTAGGAAGATAAAAAGAAGAGCTCAGTCTGGTGAACTAGATGATTTGTGCGTTTTCTTCCTGTTCTAAAATGTGTAGAAGAGAACATTGACTGTAGGGGGAAAAAGCATTGCATAGCAAAACAACTGTAGTATGGAACTAGTCTTTTCCTTTATAAAATCATTTAAGTGAGGTATTGGAAAATAGTGCTTTTCTTAAATGGGTCTCTTAGCTAAAAAGAAAATGATTGGAGACTAGCATGCACTTTTTGGTACTGCCAGTCATTTGCAGAATACATTTTTTCCATTCCTGGAATTCAAGTCCATGGATAAATAAATTAGTTTTGATTTCACAGAGCAGTAGAATTAAGTCTGTTAGAGCTTACTTACAACAGCCATCCCTAAGAATCTTTGCAAACTTCGACTCTGCTTAGGTAGTCTAGAAATTAAGTTTTCATTAGCATAGTTAACTTCAGAGAAATGAGATACTGGCCAAAGGAACCAGTAGAAGTTTTATCGTACTGAGCTGACTGGTTTGAAAAATGACTTTTAGGATGTCCAGAATCACCATTTGGTTAGGTGCTTTAGAGA